GAAACGTCAGCCTTCCTGCTCCTATGATGCTGCTTGGCCTGCTGTGTTCATCCAGCTCTACACCTTGTTATCTCAGATTTTCCAGCATCTGCAGTTCCTACTATCTCTGATAGCAGTGAAAAGTTTGTCATGTCACCTTTCAGCGCCATCTTAGGTACAGTGTACCTAGGTGCAGATATGTTAAGTTTTGTCACAGAATTGAAATAGTAAAAAAGTTTAGCATGGGGATACAGAGCGTAAAAGTCCAGAATTAGAATAAAGGTGTCTTTAAAGTACTCAAGTTCTAGTCCTTTACCAGCAGGAGTCTATGTTGGTCATTGCCTGGTATATGTGTGGTGTGAATGTTACTTGCCACTTGTCAGCACAAGCCTGGATATTGTCCTGATCTTGTTGCATTTGAACATGGACTGTTTCAGTATCTGAGGAGTCATGAGTGGTTCTGAACATTGTGCAATCATCAATGAACATCCCAGTTATGACCTTATGATGGAGTGAAGGTCATTGGCAAAGCAGTTGAAGATGATTGAACCTAGGACACTACCCTGAGGAACTCTTGCAGAAATGTCCTAGAGCTGAAATGACTGACCTCCAAAAACTACAACAATCTTTCTATTACCAGGTATGACTCCAGCCAGGGGAAAGTTGGCTCCCGATAGCCATTGATTCCAGTTTTCCTAGGGCTCCTTGATGCCTCATCTGGTCAAATACGGCCTTGATGTCAAGGCCTGTTCACTTTCACCTTACCTGTGGAATTGTCCATGTTTGAACCAAGGCTGCAATGAGGTCAAGAGCTGAGCGGCCCTGGCATAACCCAAACTGGGTGTCGGTGGGCAGGTGCTGCTTGGTGGCACCATTGACACTTTCCATCACTTTACTGATGTTCGATGGTAGACTGCTGGGGCAGTAACTGGCTGGGTTGGATGTGTTCTGCTTTTTTGTGTATAGGACATACCTGGGCAATTTTCCACATTTTCAGGTTGATTCCAGTGTTATACTGAAAGAGCTTGGCTAGACGAACAACAAGCTCTGGAGCAGAAGTCTGCAGTACTATGCCAGAATGTTGTCAGGGTCTGTAGCCTTTGCAGTACCCAGTGCCTCCAACTATTTCTTGATATCAGGTAAAGTGAATGAAATTTACTGAAGACTGGTATCTGCAATGCTGGTACCACTGGAGGAGTTTGAGATGGATTGTCCACTTGGCACTTCTGGCTGAAGATTGCTGTGAATACCTTAGCATTATGTTTTGCATTGATGTGTTGGGTTCTTCCATCATTGAGGACGGGGATATTTGTGGATCATCTTCCTCCATTGAGTTGTTCAGTTGTCCACCACTGTTCACAACTGGATATGGCAGGACTGTGGGATCCATTGGTTGTGGGATCACTTAGCTCTGTCTATCATTTGTGGCTTATGCTGTTTGGCATGCAAGTAGTCCTGTTTGGTAGCTTCACCACCTTGACACCTCATTTTTAGGTATGCTTGGTGCTGCTCCTGGCATGCTCTCCTCCACTCTCAATTGAACCAGGGTTGATCCCCTGATTTGATGGTAGTACATGATATGCCAGGCCATGAGATTGCGGCATAGGCTGGAGTACAATTCTGCTGCTGTTGTTGGCCCATGGTGCCTCATAGATGCCCAGTCTTGAGTTGCTAGATCTATTTGAAGTCTGTCCCATTTAGCACAGTGATAGTGGCACACAAAATGTGAAGGTGGGACCTCATTTTGATAAGGACTGTGCAGTGGTGACTCTTACCGATACTGTCACAGGCAGATGCAGATTGGTAAGGATGAGGTCAACTGTTTTTTCCTTATTATTCGTTCACTGAACACATGCCACATACTCAGTCTAGAAGCTATATCCATTTGGATCAGACTAGCCTGATCAGCAGTGCTACTTGGTGGTGGACATTGAATTTTCCCCCCAAGCAGGGTATATTTTGTGCCTTTGCCAACCTTAGTGCTTCCTCCAAGTGCCGTTCAACATGGAGTAGTGATTCATTTCCTGAAGGAGTATGGTACATGGAAAATCAGCAAGAGTTTTCCTTGCCCACGTTTATGCTGAAGCCTTGAGACTTCATGGGTCTGAAGTCAGTGTTGAGGACTCACAAAGCAACTCCCTCCCAACAGTTTACCACTGTGCCTCTACCTATGCTGGGTCTGTCCTGCTGGTGAGACAAGACATATCTAGAGACATTATCTGCAAGGTATGCTTCTGTGAGTATGATGCTGTTGCTTAACTAGTCTGTGAGACAGCTCTCTTAGTACTAACGTTAGCCTATAGATGTTAGTAAGGTTGACTTTGTAGGACCAACAGGTCTATTTCTTTTCCAGGGCCTAGATCAATGCCAGGTGGTTCAACTCTTTAATTTCTTTGTTGAAACTTCATAGCAATTGATACAACTGAGTGGCCATTTCAGAGGGCAGTTGAGAGTGGCTCTGGAGTCTCACGTAGGCCAGATCAGCTGAGGATGGCAGATTTCTTTCCCTGAAAGGCATTAGTGAGTCAGGTGGATTTTTCTGACAATTGACAATGGTTTCATTTTTAATTCCAGATACTTTTAATTGAATTCAAATCCCACCATCCACCATGTCAAGATTTGAATTTGCATCCCCTAAAAATTATCTGAGTTTCTGGATTAATAGTCTAGCTGCAAGGCCATCGCCTCCCCTTGACTAAACTGGTGATGTTACAATATGAAAGAACACAAAGCCTAAAGTAAAAAATCTTAACTAATCCCTGCCTAAAATCTGAATGAAATGGTTTTGATCTTTGAGAACGTGATTGAGAAATGATAGAAGGACCCAGCTGTAATCCTAATTAGCAAAGCCAAGTACAGTACATTGGAGTAAAAGGCTCAGATGATAACAGCACAAGAGGTCAATCAGCCGACCATATCTGCACCAGTTGAAGATCTAACTAGCTTTGCACCCTTTTCCAGCTTGTGACCCATAGCCCTAGTAGCTATGGCAAGTGAATATCTAAATACTGATTCAAAGTTACAATAATTTTTGGCTCAACCACTCTTTCAAGAATTCCAGATTCCCAACATCTTCTGGGTGAAAACAAAATCTATCCTCGATTCTCTTCAACGCTTTCTACCTCTTACTCTAAAGCTCTTACTCCCTGATTATGGACAAAAAAAGGGCCTGCCTATCCAGCCTGTCTATGTCCCTCACAAACCTTTCTAAGATCCCCCCTCAACTTTTGTTGCTCCAAGGAAAACAAACTCAGCCTATCCAATCTTTCGTCATAGTTCAGAACATTCAACCCAGAAAGTAACCTGGTAAATTTCCTCTGCACCTTCTGGAGTGCAATCACATCCTTCCTAAAAGTGTGGCTATACCTACATGCAGGACTCCAATTGTGGCCTAATCAAAGTTTTGAACAGTTTTATACATAATCTCCCTGCTCTTTATTCTATTTCTCAGCTAATAAAGGCTGGTATCCCATGTTCCTTCTAGATTGCGTTATCTAACTGCCCTGTTACCTTCAGGTATCTGTGGATATGTATGATGTGGAGGTGCCAACACGACACCAAGTTATAGTCCAACGGTTTATTTGAAAACAAAAGCTTTCAGAGCCTCAGTCCTTCTTCAGGTGTTAGAGAAAGAGGTAGTATCAGACAGAATTTATAAGTAAAAGATCAAAGGTTCACACCGTTGATGACCATGTACTAAACAAACCTAAGATGCTGTTAAATCTTTAGTCAGTTAGAACGTTTTAATAGATTAATATGCATACGTAAATCCCCAAATTCATTTCAAGTCACGGTCCTGAGGGAACTAAACATTTTATCAGTGTAAAAAAGTGACATTTTAGATCAGACAAAGGAGGTTAGCTGTGAGACCATGTTTAGAATCTGTGTTTTAGTTGGGAGTCAGGCTGGTTTTATTTCTAAAGTAGGAATTTATGAAACGCCATATTGACAGCCAATTCTCAGCCAAATTCACCCCAGAGATTCACGTGTGCGCGTGAGAGAAGGGGAAAGAGAGAGAGCGCGCGCGTGGAAGAGACAGTGAGAGTGAGCACGCATGAAAGTGTATGCGCGAGAGAATGTGCGCGAGTGAGTGCGCACGAGTGAATGAGAGAGTGTGTGTGTGTGTGTGTGGGGGTGTGTGCAAGAGAAAGTGTGTGCACGACGGAGAAAGTGTGTGTGCCGGTGTGTGTGTGAGAGAGGGTGTGTGCCGGTGTGTGTGTGAGAGAGGGTGTGGATGTATGAGTGTGCGAGTGCATAGTGTGGTGGGTCACCTGTAGTGCGACATGAACCCAAGATCCCAGCTGAGGATACGGAAATATACACGTACACAAAGGTGTGTGACCTTTGGTACTTTCCAGAGTCCTTCCATTCATAGAATAATCCTTTGCGTGGTAGCCCTCCCCAGATGCATTACCTTACTTTCGTGGGATGAACTCTTATTTGCCACTGCTCTGGCCTACGTGACCAGTCTCTTATTAGCCTCTTGCAGTTTACTATTTACCACTCTACCAAGTTTTGTGTAATCCACAACTTCTTGACTATTTCCCCTACATTTAAGTCTAAATCATTCACTTACGCCACCAACAGCAATTACTCCAGGACCATAACGTGCAGAATCCTACTGGAAATAGACATCCAGTTACAGAAACAACCCTTAATCATCACCCTCTGCTTCTTGCTTCTCAGCCAATTTTGGATCCAAAGTGCCACTTTGTCTTAGATCCTATGGAATCTTACTCTTTTTGACCCATCTGCCATGAAGGAACATATCAAAAACTTTGCTAAAGTCCGGTGGAGCACATAACCATACCTTGTTACTGCATGAAGAAATGCGGGCAGGTCGAGAAGAAAAACTTTACCTCCATCACAGTCATATTAAATGTCATTGTGACTCAGATTAGAGCATGATAGGGCAGAAATCTAATCTGAGAGGGACTCAAACATGGAGAAATTAACCCCACATATGACTGACACCAAACTCCTCTTACCTGACATAAACCAATTGCATAATCACTGACACCAATCTCCTCTCGACTGACATAACCAATCTGAATCATTAACACCAATCTCCTCTCATCTAACATAAAGCAATCCCAATGACACAAATTTCCTCTTATTAGATATGAAGCAGCTCCAAAGATTAATCACAATCCGTTACTTGGAGTGGACATTTTCCATTGCTGTTCATAATAGAGTTCTGTACCAGATGGAAGGACAAAACTTGGAGGCTCTCCTATTCTCCTTCCTTCTGGCGGATGCTACTGTGAAGAATGTGCATGTCAGAAAGAATTGTCAGTAAGGATTAAGCAGCACTTCCTAATTGCAGTTGTTAATTGAAACCTTTTTGGCACGGAATTATACCAAAGACCAAAGGATGAAATTAAAAGGTGCTAACATTGTCGTAAACTTATTACTGATGAGAATCCCTCAATTATAGGCGACGATCGTGGATATTGTCCTTCAAGACAGTCTCATGAAACTGCAGACTTGAAAGCACAATCAGCAAAAGACAACGTTACAACTTGTATTTATATAGTACCTTTAATGTAATGGAACACAGCACACTGCATAAGAGCACTATAAAACAACATTTGACAATAAGCCGTAAAGAAGTAATTAGGTCAGATGACTACAGGCTTAGTTGAAGATGTTGGTTTTAAGGAGTGACTGCAAGGAAGAAACTGAGGAAGACAGACAGACAAATTTAGAATTGCAGAGTTGGCTGACAATGAAGAAACAATTATAATTGGGAACACACGAGGCCAGAATTACAGGACCGTGGATATTGCATAGGGTTCAGGGGAAGGGGTAAATTAGAGAGATAGGCAAGGGCAAAGCTGAAGAGAGATTTTAAAATAATGCTGAGAACTGTAAAGCCAAGATGATGTTTAACTGCAGGCCAATTCACATCAGCGCACCTGAAAGATGGAGAACAAGGATTTGCTGCGAATTAAGACATGGGCAGCTGAGTTTTGGATGACAAAAAAATTACAAGGGCTGGAGTATGGGAGATCAACTGGGAATGTTAAAAAAAAAGTTGAGTCCAGAGGAAACAATGGCATGAACAAGGATTTCAGCAGAATTGAACTAAGATGGAGTGAAGCCAAGCGATTGGATGGTGGTGGAAGAAGGCGGTGTAAATGATGGCAGGAACATGAGTTTGGAAGTTAATATCAGAACCAAATATGATACTGAGGTTGTAAGAAGAAGAAGACGGAGTCAATCTCAGACTATTTTCAGGAAGAGGGATGGAATCAGTAGATTGGAAACGGTGCTGAGAATCAGTGCTAAGAATCGATTATTTTAATTCTTATCAACATTTAGTTGGAGGAAATTTCTGCCCATCTAGTTCTGGATGTTGGATCAGAAATCAGGTAACTGAGGAACCAGGGCAGAGTCAAGGCAGCTTGTGATGCAGAATATGAAACAACAGCACAGTTATAGGGGTGATTAACATCAAAAGAAACAAATCCAATCTGTCAGAATGAATGTCACTCAGTACTGGACAGTATCAATAGCAGTAATGAAATCGCAATCCAACTCCTGCAGTCATTTGTGACATCGCTGGTGGCTCAGCAGGTTGGATGATTGAGTGAATCCCTTCCCACATATTGTGCAGGTAAATGGCCTCTCCCCAGTATGAATTCGCTGGTGTGTCAGCAGAATGGATGAACTCATGAATCCCTTTCCACATATGGAGCAGGTGAATGGCCTCTCCCCACTATGAACTCGCTGATGTATCAGGAGTTTGGATGAGTTCATGAAACCCTTCCCACACACAGAGCAGATGAAAGGCCTTGCTTCAGTGTGAGTTCGCTGATGTATCACAAGAGTTGACGACTGAGTGAATCCCCTCCCACACATGGAGCAGGTGAACGGCCTCTCTCCAGTGTGAACTCGCTGGTGTTTTAGCAAGTTGGATGGATGATTGAATCCTTTCTCACAAACGGAGCAGGTGAATGGCCTTTCCTCAGTGTGAACACGCTGGTGTGTCAGAAGTGTAGATGACTGAGTGAATCCTTTCCCACAAACAAAGCAGGTGAATGGCTTGTCCCCACTGTGAATTCGACGGTGTTTCAGCAGGTTGGATGGATGATTAAATCCTTTTCCACAGTTAGAGCAGGTGAATGGCTTCATCTCAGTGTGAACCCGTTGGTGTGTCAGGAGATTGGATGACTGAGAGAATTCCTTCCCGCACACAGAGCAGGTGAAGGGCTTCACTTCGGTGTGAGTTCTTTGGTGTGTTACGAGATTAGATGACTGAGCAAATCCTTTTCCACACATGGAACAGGCGAAAGGCCTCTCCCCAGTGTGAATGCGACGATGGTTTTCCAGCAGGGATGGGTAATTGAATCTCTTTCCACAGTCTCTACATTTCCATGGTTTCTCCATGGTGCGGGTATCCTGTCCCTCTGCAGGTCGAATGACCGGTTTAAGCCTCATAAACACATAGAGCACTTCTATAAGTCCTCCCTGCTAGGAATGGTGCAATGTCTTTTAAGGGCGTGTAACTAGTTAATGCTCTTTCCACATTCAGTGTACTGGAACACACTTACTTGGCTGCTTGCATCTCACTGCTTTTCTAGTCAGGCTGATTTGAGAAATACAGCAAACATTTCACTTGTTATATTCATGAACAATGGCATTCAGGCCCTGATGAATCGAGTGATCGTGCTGGAGCGTGACATCATGTATAATTCAAATTTCTCACCTAGAAATTGTCCTCTTCTAAAATCCTATAAAAAGTTGTTTACAAATGACTTCGTGCAAATTCAGGAGAGATTAAGAACAATTTTTACCTCATTTCTATGGAACAAATTTACCACTCATTTCACCAAACTGTGTGCCACGCACTTGCCCATTTTCAGGCACTGAAATTGGATCCCATCGCTCCATTCTCACTATTTCTTTCTTCCGGGCCAATTTTCATCCTCCCTGTACTCTGACTGGTTTCAGTTCAGTCTTCAAAAAACCTAAGTTGCAGTCAAAGGACTAGAAACGTTAACTCTGCTTTCCTCTCTCCACAGGTGCTGCGGGACTTGTTAAATTTTCCAACAAATTGCTTTTGTTTGCTCTCAATTATTTTACTGCGCTCGTCCTGGGGTTCATGAGGCCCGCCTACACTAGTGTACCAAGGGGGCCGCGCTTGAACATTGCTTCCCGTTCAAACACTGCCTCCTTTACAAAGATGGCCGCCGGAGTAAACACGGCCCGTGCGCGGAGAGGAAGACACACCTTTCCTGATCCGCTCTGACAGAAGCTCGCAAGACGGCGGAGACGGTGAACCCGCAACGCGGAATGCAGGAGGGACTTTTCGGCACTTATTCGGCGGCCTCTGACCTATCGCGGTTATTCCTGAAACAGCCAGATCAGCTTGTGGCTTCGGTCGCTGACGCGCACTCACAATCCGCTTCCGCCACTGAGGGATAACAGACCGCCTCACTGCGCATGCCTGAACTCCCCTCCGCGCCTGCGCGTTTAGTTATTAACGTGGATTGTCTGGAGGCATGTGTCACAGAACATGTACTGCCGCTGGAATTGTCTTACCCTTGGAGGCCGCTGGTAATGTGATATGACTATGAACCTGGGTTCAATTCCCATCTGCTCCCACCGTCTCTGAACAGGTTGATTGGAGAGGAGATAAACTAATTAACGGACACACATCTCCTCTCTCCGGGCTCTGTGGCACAGTAGGAGACACCTGGGTCGAAGACCCGCCTGATCCAACTTCTATGAATGGGTTAATTTAAAAAATATATTGCATTCTACGTAATAAAGAATCATTACAATTTTTTTTCTCCTACTTGAAACCTAGCTGCTAAATGAGATGATGGGTCTTGGCTGAATGGTACTGTCAGTGAAACAGATAGATATTTTCATCCTATAGGGGGGAGCAGAACTTAAAACTATGTGATATTTGCTGTGGAGGCCAAGCCATTAAGTGGTTTTAATATTGAGGTAGGAGCAATTTACTGCAGATGCTGAAACCTGAACTGAAAACAAAAAAAAATGCTGGAGATCACAGCGAGTCAGGCAGCATCCATGGAAAGAAAGCCAGCTAACATTTCGAGTCTGGATAACTCTGGTGACTCACTGTGATCTCCAGCATTTTTGTTTTCAGTTAAGATAAAGATAGATAGGTTCTTAATTAGTAAAGGGATCAAGGCTCACAGTGAGAGGGCTGGAGAATTGGGTTGAGAAACATATCAGCCCTATTCGACTGGCAGAGTAGACCCAATGGGCTGAGTGACATAATTCTGCTCCTACGTTCTTATGGTCTTATATCATTTCCATTCATATCACAATTAGTATTTTGATTGATTACTCTAGGGATCAGTGAAGCACTTGCCTTTTGTTTTACTCAGATATGTCTGCCCTATGCATCTAATTTTGTTCTGGCTTCTCTGCAGATAGGTTTCCAATACAACAAGAATAAGACATTTCATTTCATACACTAGAAATGACTTAGATAAGGAAAAGGCCTGTGTCTGTGTAGGGTTTACTATAGATGCATGGACACAAAAGATATCACTTTGCTGATTTTTAGAAATAACAGACTAACCAGGGCATAGATCATTAGCACAGTTGCAAAAACAAAGTTCTAAGAGTGAATAGTTATGCAGACAATAACAAAATTAATATCTATTAGTCATTAAAAACATTTAATATTAAATCACAGTTTTGTGATAGGAGGAAGGTCTAAAGACAGAAATCAAAAGTTGTGAAAGTCACAGCATGGTGAGGCTGACAGGGCATGAGGCAAGCCTAACTTGATTTACACAAGTTGTGTAAGGAACTAAAAGTATAAATAGGGCATATGACCCATAATCATGGTGCATAAAGATAATGTCACACAAGATGGTATGATATGAGATCTGTGGAAGTTTTGAGGTGTTTCTCAGCATGCTTTGAGGGTTTCACCCTCATGTGCATGGGTATGTTAATAAATTACCGCCTGCATTCATTTCAGTGCTGACTCATGTCAAGTCATAGAGACATACAACACTGACACATGCCCATTGGCTCAACTCATCCATGCTAATCAAGTTTCCTAAACTGAACTCAGAGATAGTCAGAACTGCCGATGCTGGAGTCTGAAATAACACAGTGTGGAGCTGGAGGAACACAGCAAGCCAGGCAGCATCAGAGGAGCAGGAAGGGTGACATTTCGGGTCATGACCCCATTTCTGAAGAAGGGTCCCTGAACTAGACCCTTTTGCCCACATTCCTCTAAACTTCCCGCATCCATGTCTTTTAAATATCGTAACTGTATCCACCTCTACTAGTTCCTCTGGCAGCTAGTTCATTTATGCAGCACCCTCTGTGTGAAAAAGTTGCCCCTCAGGTCCGCTTTAAATATTTCCCCTTCAACCTTAAACCTATGCCCTCTCGTTTTTGCACCTCTAACCTGGGGAAAAGAACTTGGCCATTCACCTTATCTATGCCCCTCATGACTTTATAGATTTCTTTGTGTGTGTCTTGTGTACGTGTACGTGTACGTGCGTCTCTCTCTCTCTGCTGCTTCGCTCTGGTGTGTCCAGACACGCCTCTAAGTAGGCTGGAGAGTGGGGGCAACCTTCTTGAATTGTCCAATCACTTGACCAATCAGGGTCTTCCACTTAATTGGGTTTATCACCTTGAAACGTCGTTAATGGCTTTCTATGGTTTTTGACCCAGAATATGTACAAGTCTTTTGTTTTACTCAGACACGTCTGCCCCATGCATCCCCTTGTTTTGTTTGTCAGGAAATGTTGAACTGTCCTTTTACACTCACTAATGTGTTCTGGTTTTCGATTGTCAGGGCTTGAATTTTGCAAAGCCCTGTCTTCAGGCAGAATTTTGTGCCATGTTTATTTTAGTTGCTGTGCTTGTATTGTTTTTGCCTTCCTTTTCAATGATTTTATTTTACTTGAGCAGTTGCAGGCTGCTTTAATTGCATGGGGCAACCAAAGTAAGACCCCTCAAGTTAGCAAGATAACCCTCACAACTTGACTATTACTCGATTAATAGTGGAATTTAGGTACGATTCAAACCTCCAGCACCCGTCTCTAGAAGTGTCCAGGTTTCGATCCTTGTGCAGTGTTGTTCTTCAAAGTTCTCCTAATGAAGGGTTGTGGTGTTGGATTCTCATACAGGCTTTTGACTTTCAGGTCTATGATGTGATATTATTCTCGATTTTTTTCATCCATATTATCGACTACTTCTCTTGAAACATCAAGTCAGCGACTTACTTTCTTATGAGAAGTAGTTTCCCCGTTACTTGTTATATTGCCATTGACCCTCAGTTTGAGGACACATCCTGGTCTTGTAATTATCACCTCAAATTCTTCAGCAGTGCCGTAAAGAACTCGAAGATGGCAGCAGAATAGCATTGCTGCTTTTGAGCTCCTGGTCCAGGACTTGTCCAGCTCCGTCTACTTTCGTTTCTTCTTTATTTCTTTTTCCTTTGCTCTTGTTTTGTTTTTTCTCTTTAAAAGCCTTTCTCGGCATCTTCAGTGAGGTGAGAATGTGCATGGCCCTCCTGGTATGTGCAGCAGCGGCGACAACAGGAGAGTGCATTGTGCAGCACAGAAGGGAAAGCGAGCCCTGCAGCATGCAGGAGAGAGCGAGCCCTGTTCTTCAACATGGTTGAAAAACAGATGGTTACAAATTGAGACCTCTCCAAAACCTCAAACTGCCCAAGCTGTGATGGACTTCATGTCAGGGCCTTAATTGCAAGGCAATCGGATAGGGTCAGTACAGTTTTGGAAAGGAAAAGTTATGTTTAACAAATCTATTGGAGGGAGTTATTTGAGGAAGTAATATGCAGTGGGAAAAGGAGAATCAATGGAAGTACTGCACTTAGATTTCCAGAAGGCATTTGAAAGGGTGCCACACCAAAGGTTATTGTGGAAATAAAAGTCCATAATATAGGGTTGGGGTTAGCAAAGCTAGAAGTTTGGCTGGGTAACAGGAAGCACAGTTGTTATAAATGCATCTTTTTAGGGTTAACAAGATGTAATGAGTGTTGTTTAACAGATCAATGCCATGTGCTCAACTGTTTACAATTTATATAAATGACTTGAATGAGGATTTGGATTGGTCTGCACTGCTCTTAACAACTTTGCGTGTAAATTAATCAATTGGAAAACACGTGAATGGTGGCAAATAGATTAAACAAAACATGATTTGGTAGTGGGGGAAATAAAACATCCAGTTGCATGTAAGAGCATTTCTGCATTTAAAAAAAAGAAGGGATAGAAGGTATGGTTGCCAAATTTGCAGATGACACAAAAACAGGTCAGAAGGTAAGTTTTGAAGAGGATGGAAGGAGGCTACAAATGTTATAGACAAATTAAATGAGTAGAAGTGGAATGTTATGTTGGGAAGTAAAGTTGTCCATATTGACAGGAAGAATTTTTAAAAAAACATTATTTCCATGCTGACAGATTGCAGACCTCCGATGTAGAGGGATCTTGATATCCTCTTGCATAAATTGCAAGGTTAGGATGTAGGCACAACAAGCAATTATGAGGCAGTTGAGTACAAAAGTGGGGAGGACAGTTATACAGGGCACAGGTAAAACTGTATTGCCTGTATATAGTATTGGTCACCTTATTTAAGAGGATGTAAATGAGTTGGAATCAGAAAAGGGAAGGTTTACCAGACTAATGAAATGGGTGGGTTGTCTTATGAGGAAAAGTTGGACAGGTTAGGCTGGTATCCACTGGAGTTTGGAGTAAGAGGTCACTTGATTGAAATATAGAAGATCAGAGAGGTCTTGACAGGCTGAATGTGGAAATGATGTTTCTTCTAACAAGAAAATTGAGACCAAGGGGTTATCCACTGAAAACAGATGAGGCAAAATACTTTCTCAAAGGGTCAGCAGTCTTTCAAACCCTTCATGAAAAGGTGGTGTAAGCAGAAGTCCTTTGAATATTTTTGGAAAAGATGTAGATAATTGGTAAAGTGGGGGAGTGGTGAAAGGTTATCAGGGTAGACAGGAATATTGATTTGCAGTTCAATACTGATCTGATTGATTCATTGTACCTTATTAAATGGAGTAGGCTTGAGGGGCCAAATGCCCTAAACTTGCTTTTTATTTTATGTACATATTCTGTTGTTAATAAGATGCAAGGTAGGCCCATCCTCACTGGCATCAGTTTCTGTGGATGTTAATAATCGAAAGCCCAATTAAAGGGAGTAATATTCTAGATAAAAACATAAAATTTGTTAAACCCAGTGTGTTAACTTGTTTTTTAAAATTAAAAAAATTAGTTATTTTTACAAAGCACTTGCAGTTTTGTCAATGAAAGCAAGTGTGAGGAACTCACTAACTTCTTTACAACTAAGACTGATTGCAGCTGCTGTTTCTGTTGCTTCCCTCCCGTCCAATAGTCACATATCCACTTTCTCTAGTTTTTTTTTCACCTATCCTGCCATATGCTCATAATGTGGCCTACACTGCATTGGAAGACCAAACATATACTGTGTGACCACTGCAAGGACACACCTCCTCCATTCCAGTGGTTTGTGATTTTAATTCTCCTCCTTGCTCTTGCACTGATATTTATGTCCCCAGCTTACTGGATTGTTCCAGGCAAGCTCAATGGAAGCTTGAGGGCATGCATTTTATCTTTAGATGAGGCATTTTACAGCCTCTGGACTTGACACTGAGTTCAACAATTTCAGACCATGATTACTCTTGCTTTTGGCAGATCCGTTGTGCTAAGTGCCACCTAAACAGCACAATGTCCTTTCAAGTTTTAATATTCAAGAATATTAATCCTTTCTGCTGAGGAAGTTAT